CAGATTTATGAAATTTCGTATTAGGTTTTTAAGCTAATCCAGAGGAACTACGTGACCCCATTGCCGGTGGCTCCGATCAATTCCTTCTTTTCACGAGGGATCTAACATGCAAAATTACCTCGCAGTCTCATTTACATGTATCAGATAAAATATACAATAGACGCGTACTATTGATACTTGCACATGATAAGTCGAGAAAAGATCGTAAGAACGAGAACAACACGTCTATATCAAAGATACCACTCAATCAAAGTAAAACATATTAGGGTTCATCAAATCCGGAACAACTAGAAGATTAGCCGGACATGATGAGATTTAGAAAGATGAAGGTTGAGAACATAACCATGATGATGACGACGACAAAGACGGAGGGGTCGAGAATACGGTATGTATATTGAGTTAATAGACTACACCTAGCAAACATCTGACGGGGGAATAATCGTTGGGCGAAGACGGTGGAAACCGACCAATCTACCACCACAAATGATTATCAAAACCCCACAGAACAGAAGCTTACTCCGGTAATCTCAATAACGCAATATACCACGGTATTCCCAAATACGAACACGAACATGAGAACCACGATGGATGAAATACGAGATATGACTTAACGAAATGAAAAGAAGTAACAAGAGTTTGGAATGAAAAGTGGACAGAGTTTTGGCTAACTTCAAATACAAGAAAGGAAGAGCAAAGTGAAGAAAAATGGTCGGCTAGTGTGTGTGTCCTCCCCCTCTATTTATAGTACAAATTGAGCTACTTGCTTGAGCTACTTGCTTGAGCTACTTGCTTGTAATAAATGGACCAGCTGCTTGCTTGTCTCTCGGCCGCTTTGATAATGGCCAGCTGCTTGCTTTCAATGGCCAGCTGCTTGCTTTCATTCAATGGGCGAGGCCATGACCAGCTGCTTGCTTTCATTCAATGGACGAGGCCATGACCAGCTGCTTGCTTTCAAATAATGGAGCTGCTTGCTTCTTTGTTTGGACCAGCTTGCTTCAGCTACTTGCTTTCATTCAATAGCCGAGGCAATTAGCAGATGCTTGCTTTCAAATAATGGAGCTGCTTGCTTCTTTGTTTGGACCAGCTTGCTTCAGCTACTAGCTTCACACGAGAATCCCAAAATGAACCAGCTTTTCCTTATGTTTAGCAATAGGCAGTTTGCGGTTTGACTCTGCATTGTTAATTAGCTCTCTTTCCGTGATTCATCACCATAATACACGATGGGTCTCGTATATTGATAACAAAAGGGGACGCGGCCAGGAGTGGTACGGCTCTTTGCCCTCGCCCGGGACGTCGCGGGCTCGAGTTCCACCGACGCCAGATTTCGAACCCTAACCATCTTTTTGTTGAATTGACACATTATTCCGTTCTTATTGGATAGAATACCCTGAAACATGACTCAAACACAAAACCAAACATAAAATCGGGAAATCGAATGAACTTAATACAATTTATGTTATTTTAGGATGTAAAAGTGTAGGAAAATATATGTATAATTTAGGTGTTATCATGAAGCTTTCTCAACTGGAGTTAATCTATTTTACCTTTACAAAGCAATTTAGTTTTAGACCTTTGTTTTCACCAAAACCAATCCACTAGATAATGTTTCAAACAGTCGAAGTAGCGGTACATGGACCGGCCTGGATTGATATTAAAACATACTTGCCATATAATGCACACATCTAAGGTTTATACTCGGACCTTAGGTGGGATTTTATTGTGATAGTCATAGCTAGTCACTATCGCCCGGTCAGAATGCTTTCATCAGAGAACGCCAGATTCTTAATAACGTTCTTATAAGACATGAGATAGTGCATTACTTAAAAATTAAGAAGAAAAGTAAGAAAGGTTACTTAGCTCTGAAGGTTGATATGGAAATGGCCTATGATAACGGGGTTTAGCCCGTTATGGATCAGTTGAATTCGAGAATGTGTATCAATTGCTAGCTTCTCCGTTTTAATGAATGGTAAACCATCGTGGTTTTTCATGCCACCAGAGGTTTACCGCTGGGAGACCCCTTGTCGCCAATGTTGTTTGTTCTCTATATTGAGGGATTTGCAGCCTTGCTTCATCAGCAATTGGAAGGGAGGAAATAGAGGGAGTTCGTGTGAGCCCCAAGGTGACGCGGGTCTCGCATCTTTTTTGCGAATGATTCCTATCTTTTCATTAAAGCATCGATGCAAGGATGTGCAGATCTCTTGGTTGTGTTGAATGAGTATGAAACATTAAGCGGGCAAAAGGTGAATCTGGCTAAGTCGGCTGTCTGTTGTCGTGCGGATTTTGAAGCAAAAGAGAAGCTGGAAATGGTGAAGCTCTTAGGAGTGGGGGTGATCGGAGTCCACGATAATACTTGGGTCTCCTTTCTTTGGTTTCCCGATCAAAGGCGTATACTTTTCGGTTTTTGGAGGAGAACCTTCTTCAAACGATTCAGGGGTGGAAGCAAAGACACTTGTCAAATGCTGCTAAAGAAACTCTACTTAAGGCTGTGGCGGCGGCCCTACCAGTCCATACAATGGCTTGTTTCAAAATTCCTGCTACTTCGTGCAGGAGATTGGACAAGCATATGGCACGGTTCTGGTGGGGATTTATGGAGGGACGGCCGAAGAATCATTGGGTACCGTGGAAGAGGCTCTGTCGTAGTAAGCACAAGGGTAGTCTTGGCTTTCGTCGATTTGAGCTTTTTAACGAGGCTCTGCTGGCTAAAGTGGCGTGGCAGATCTATATGGAGCCTGATTCCCTGATGACGCAGATTTACAAAGCAAAATATTTTCCGCAGGATTTTATCTTTTTGGCCTCTCCGCGATCCCGTCCATCCTGGGGTTGCCAAGGTGTGTTGTTTGGCTATCAATTGTTCATGTAGTGGGTTGACTTGGGTGATTGGGTCGGGGGATGACATACCGATGATGTCGGAGGGGTGGATTCCGTTAATTCAACCTTCACGACCAGGTTTGCATATGGGAGCACCTTTGACAGGCAATGAGATGGTGGCGGATTTGATTGATCCGGAAATAGGAGAGTGGTGTTAGGATTACTTAGTGTCCGTCTTTGATCAAAAGACGATTCGGGCCGTTGTGCAGATCCCGTTACCTCGGGTAGCTATGCCTGATAAGCTGATTTGGCGTGAGGACCCATCGGGGGTTTATACTGTGAAATCCGGGTACATGCTGGCGGAGCGTAAGTCACATTTGGTGGGGAGGAGAAAATTGGAATGCAGCACGATGGATCGAAGGTTATGGATTAAGGTTTGGGGGTATGCCCGTTCAGCCGAAGCTTAAGTTTTTTGCTTGGGATCTTTTGTGACGAATTTTGCCAATGATGGAGGCGTTGCGTGAGAAGAAGGTGCCGGTACTGGCGGAGGCTAGAGGAATCCACTGAGCATCCTTTTCTGCAGTGCCCGGTAGCGAGAGGACTGTGGGAGGCGGTTGGATTAGCAGCTGAATTAGATACTCTGCCTATTGAGATTTGTAATTTTTTCAGGCAGTTTCTGGATCGTGATGCTTCCCATTCGCGTGTCGTGCGATTGATGTGTTTGCTATGAAGGATTTCGAAGGGTAGGAACCCTGTGGTCTTCGAGGGACAAAGATTCTCCCTAGTATTCTCAGGCAGGAGTTCCTTCATCAAGTTGCTGAATGGTTGCAGGTTCCCAATAGGGTAGGGAATGGTGAAGTTGTGTCCTCTACAGATCCGGTGGCTAATCTTCCTATGGTGGATGGGGCTCATTTGAGTGGTTTGATATGCTCCTTTGATGGGGCAGTCCGTGAGGGATACCATGCGGCATGTGGGATGGTCTTAAGAGACGCGGCTGGTGTGGTGGTTGCAGCTCAGGGGGTAATGTTTAGAGGCCTACAGAATCCGAGGCTTGTAGAGTTATCCACCTTGCGGGATGCTATTCGGCGGCGCCATCATCGTGGTTTGGAGGTCGTTACGATTGTGGGTGACGCGAAGATTGTGATTGACAAAGTCAACGCAGGTGGTGTTCAGGATGCTGCTGGTGGGGCTTTATTCGAGGAAATTCGCCATCTACTTTCGACTTCTCAGGGGTTTAGGATTTGATTTGTGCGTAGACAGAACAATAGGTTAGCCCATATGTTGGCTAAGAAGGCCCTGTCTTTGTTTCCTGCGGGGTATAATCCAAGCTATATATTCGTAAAATAAAAATAACCCCTAAAAAATCCCAACCCCAACCCAAAAAAAAAGCTAACCCAAGCCAAAAGTTTATTTTGTTTTGGTTCCTACTTCCTAATTTACCAAGGTTGTCAAACCGATGTCGGACCGGGTTTGGCCGAAACCGAACACTAAAAATTCGAGAGTCAACCATAATTAGAACTGGCCGGTAGCCACTCAAAATCGGTCAAACTGGGGTCTGGCCGGACTAAACCGGCTACTAGCTACAATGAAGTGTCGTTTTTGCCTTGTATGGAGCTTATTCTAAAATGAATTCTAAACCCTAATAATTAACATCGCATCCCTTTTCGTTTCTTCTCCATGGAGCGCAGCAGCCACCAGAGCAGAGCCCATGATTGATTGCGGCCTCAACTAGCAGAGCCGAGTCCCGCCGCCATCGCTCCCCGCCTCCAAAGTCTGGACCCAGCTCCCTCCATCCTTGACGCTGCTCGCCGTCCCTCTCCGCTCGTCACCTCGACCCAGCTCCCCGTCGCTGACGCTATCTCCGAAATTTTTCAATGGGTGCTTAATTAGGTTTTTAAGAGATCCAAATTGATTATCGGGTGGGTACAGACCTTGAAAGTTAGAAATGATTATTGATTAGAGAAAAGGAATCATTTTGTATTTCCCGCCGCGTACGTAGCTTAATCCCCTATATAATCCAAACCTGCTTATCTTAAAGCTAATAAACAAACAAATTAATCAACAACAAAACAAACCCATTTACAATCAATCCCCACATATCTTGTCAAAACCGGCTTAACTCGATTGAACCCCGATCCGATTATTAAACCTCAAACCTTTTGTCAAACCGGCTGAATAACGATTTGACAAATTTGTAATTTACTCTCTCTCTCTGTCATCATCCTCATCAATTCAATCATCACTCCTATCTCTCTCTCTCTCTCGTTATGAATTTTGTTCTCTGCAAGAGACAGAGCAGCAACAACAGATCGCCATCACCCTCCGCCGGCTCTCACTGACTCTCCCACCTCCTCTCCTATAATGTTTCAATCAATGGATCGGATTGGATTGAATGAAGCAGTGATTATCTAGGCCCGCCATTCCTCTCTCTCTGGTTTCCCCAGCAAGATACTTAATCCTCCCGCGGCCCAGGGCTCCTTTTCTCTCTCTAGTCCTCTACGTAAGTCTTTGAATCTTTCCGCTGGTTGTTCCTGTGCCACTTTCACCTCAGTGGCCGTTTTTTGTTTGTTTGTTTGTTTCTTTTATTTTTTTTCTTCTTCCGTTTCTGCTATATACTGGGCGATGCATGTATCAATAGGTGGTTTCTCTTCTTTTTTCCAACAACCCAAATTTGATCTTGTTTATCATTTCGGGATTGTGCTTACTCTGCTTCCTCTCTGTGTCTTAGTTCAATTCTCACTCTTGGGCTTCCTGATTTTGCGTTTCTAAGTCTGCTGAAGACCCACTTATTCTCTGCATGCAGGGAATTCAACTGTTGAATTCTTTTGTGGTGGACTTGAGGAATACCCAACCAACTAGTGGCTTCGTCAAATACCCAGGGTACGGTCTCGAGTTCCCTTTTCCCCTTTTGCTCTTTTTGTTTTGTTTTGTTTTGCTAAGGGAGAACTTGAATGGTGTCTGTTAAGATTTACAACACTTAACCACTCTTCGTTTGTTCCTTTTTCGTTTCTGCTTTTCTTAGTCAGTTCCTTGCTTGCATGTTTTGTAGATGGATCCAGTTTGTAAATGTTATTAGATTTAACTTCCTCAGCTTGCGCTTCAGTGAGCAAGCCTATCCTTTTCATGACATGCATACTGCTTTTCGGGCCATTCTATTTTTCTGTTTCTGTTTTTCCCCCCTTTTTTCAAATTGTGTAAGCTACACTAGCCGGAATTAATGTTCCTTCTCCTATGGGTTTTTTTCATGAAATTCAGCAACCTTGAATTTGACTAATGTGAGTTTCATTGTTAGGGATAAGGGTAGGACCATTCTTTAATGTGGTAGCTGGTGTAATTCTTTACCACATTTATTGAAGCTTTTTCTGGTTGTCTAATGTTGCTGGTTCTCAAAGTTGATCTTTCTCGGGTAGTCTATTAGTAACTGACTCAGTAGTTGTAAGAAGTGGGAAAGCAGAGCAAACGAGAAGGTATATAAAAGAGAACCGCACAGTGAGAGACCAGCTGCGTCTATGAATAATTAACTTTGGAGGAAATGGCGGGGAGGTGGAGATATATTATTGGCCTCTAATGTGAGACAGTCTTCGAATTTTAAATGCAAGGGACAAAGACGAGGAAACTGATCTCCATGTTTGGTGTAGTGACGTTGAGAAACTCAGGGTCTTTGAGATGCAACAAGAACTTTAATTTTTATTACTAGTCGTTTGCTGATCCTGAAGGCACAAGTTGGATACAATAAGAAAATTCAACCATGGACCCTAATGGTGGCAAAAAAGTGAAGCGGAGGGATCAGCTTGTGCATGAAAATGGTGATATCATACTTTCAATCGTCGGCGATGTAGACCCATGGACTGCATGGGCATACAAGCCACGCACGATCTCGCTATTACTTGTTGGTGCATGCTTCCTTATGTGAGTTTTTTGCCAGATTTTCTATGTAAAGTTTTTTTAAGTTTGTTTGATGCAAGTCTTCTTACTAACGGATTCAGGCATGTTTGAAATAGTTGGGCTAGTGGAGCCCTTGACCCTGAAATGAGCACAGGTGGTGATGTTGTTACGACAGTGAAAAGGTTGGCCTCTGCTTTTAAATGTCACTTGAGATGATTTGTTGCAAGGATCCTGGTTTTAGTGTTTTCTAAACTTTGTTAATTGCTTTATGTGAATCTCGACTGTAGGGGTGTATGGGCTATGATCGCAGTTTTTCTTGCTTATTGCTTACTGCAAGCTCCATCAACGTAAGGTTATTTTATTTTCTAATTTGGCATTTTCTGTTTTACATGTGTTTAGCTGCTTGTTTACTCTGTTATTTTAGAGACTTTTGAGGACATGAAACATGATCATTCACTTACTGATCAGGCGATCTTTGTTTACTCTTGGCAATGTTGGTGGTTATCTCTCTCTAAGTCGTTGAATTATCCATGTCAATATATGTTTTGTAAGGTGGCAGATTAACTGCATCTTTTTCTTGTGCAATAAATTATCTTGCCGAAGTTCTTCTCTAGGAGATTGTGTTGCTTGAAATGCGGCCTCTTGTTTTAGCTGCTGAGTTTGTTGTAATACTGAATGATGCACTCAGCAGATTTGATCAATTAGAAAAGAAGAATGAATTCTGAATAAAGTGTTTTAGTATCTGTGCAATGAGAGCATTTGAAATTCTATTTTGCAGGATTCTTATAAGGCCACATCCAGCACTTTGGAGGCTAGTTCATGGCATGGCGGTTATATATCTTGTCGCCCTCACATTTTTGCTTTTTCAGGTAGACGAATTTCATTTCTGGCATCTAAACTAGAATGCTCATCTTCACTCTCTCGCAATGTTTCTGTTTCTTGCATTCATATCTGCCTGTTATTTAATATTTGTTGAATGGTAGTAGTCATGTCAATTTGCCTTTTTATACATAAAAGATACTCTTATCTCTACTGAGAAATCGTTTTCCTATTTCTCTGCATGAGGTTAATGGCAAAGTTTTTCTCTTAATCAGAAACGTGATGATGCTAGACAGTTCATGAAGTTCCTTCATCCTGACCTTGGACTGGGTAATGATTTTCTCTATCATCTCTCTCATGACTTAACCCTTGAAATAGTCAAAGTCTCTTTCATTATTGGCTATAGTATTCTAATAAAAATTGCGCGCCTGTGCAGAGCTTCCTGAAAGGTCATATGGAGCAGATTGTCGTATTTATACACCTGAAAATCCTACAAGCGTGTTTAAGAATCTTTATGTATGATTTCTTCTTGCCCGACTTTCCTTTTTAGCACTGGGTTTCTTACTGAGGGGTGTCTTTGCCCCCCTTCAAACAAAGCCCATAGGTTGGCTGTGAGCGCTTTACTAATATAATAGTGAAAAGTAAGGCTCTTCTGCTGAGCGACGCTGCGAGCATGAGTGACTTTTGATTTTTCCCCTTTTTTCCCCATTGCTTTTACCGGTAGCACCAGTACTACGCCAAACTGTCATTTTCGCCTCATTTAGTTTGGTTTGTTCAGGACACACTTTTTGATGAATTTGTTCTAGCTCATATTTTTGGATGGTGGGGCAAGGCTATATTAATCCGGAATCAACCTCTTCTTTGGGTGTTATCTGTTGGATTCGAGTTCCTAGAGGTTAGTTGGTCTGCTAATTCTTGGTGTATGTTTGGTTTCTCAATTTCTGTAAGTGTGTTTGCTTTGAGCTCTCGGACAACAATGCTCATTTATGTTCTCTGGCATTTTCAGTTTACTTTTCGTCACATGTTGCCGAATTTCAATGAGTGCTGGTGGGACAGTATCATTCTCGATATACTGACATGCAACTGGTTTGGTGAGACTTCTTGAACAGTTAATGTTCATTACCCTCCTCTTTTCTATTTTCGCTGTTGCTCTTGGAACTTCTTTCTGATTGATGTTACTGGTTGACAATGTGAAGCAGCTAATTGAGAAAAAATTATATATTTGAGAGTCCATTTTATGGCGATGGCTAGAAGACTGAACTGTTGACTAAGAAATTATATTTTATTTGTATGGATCAAATTAAGGATTGGTATCGAAGGATATTCACACTGGGTACCTTGGTTACCTCATTCTTTTGCTGACTAGATTGCTTCTAGTTGTGTATTTATGTACGACTTGGTATATTTAGTGCCGTAGTTTCTAAATTAAGTTGATAGTGTGGCTACGTTGGATATCTTCAGCTACTCTCAGGTGTATGGGGGCCTTATTTTCATTGTTGAAACATGCTTCTTCAAATAGTAACATGTGCCGTATGAAGTTGATAAAGTTCAGTTAGAAGTTACAACCTTCTGGCCATCAAGTCCATGTGTCTCTCTTATTAGATTTAAGTGCCTACACTCTAATCTTGATTCAGGTCAGATGTATGGTCTTATCAGCTAATTGCTTGTTCCTCCAGTTGTCCACAGTGATAGTGTGTTGACAATATCAGTTAAGTTGTGATAAAGTAAACACTAATAATCTAAAGAGAGAAAATGAAGTAATTGCTAAACAAGACCATTAGGGACCTTAGTCAATGCTGAAGCATTTAGCATTCTTGAACTGGATGTCTCAAACAAGTTGAAGTTGCATTCTTCAACTGGATTTAGGCTGTGACCTAGGTTTGGAGAACTATTTTCAATTAAAAAAAGTGCTATAGGAGTAGCTATTGACGAGCACTTGTTCATGATTTATTTGACGTACACAAGAAAGCTAAACTTGCTACTTCTGGCAAATCTAGTTCGTAAGGATCAATAGGACTTGTAATTCGAGGCTTATTAAAATTTACAGATCCGAGAAAGATAACGTTGACACCCTTCTAACTAATTCCTAAGTGATATCTGCTGCCCCCGCCCAGAGACACGGAAATGGTTGGTTGATTCTGGTTTATGATTTCGAATTTGTGCCTAACATTGTATTTCACAGGTATTTGGGCCGGGATGTGTACTGTAAGGTATTTTGATGGGAAAACATACGAGTGGATTGGTATTAGTCGGCAGCCTAATATTATGGGCAAGGTATGTGTTCCACTTATTTCACCTGCACTTTGTCCTTCGACTGTATGAGCTTCCAGTATTATCTGACTGTCAGTAATCCTCTTGTTGCTTCTTATGTCCTCTGCTGAACGTTCATGCTATGGCAGTGGATTTGTAGATGTTTCCTTGTTGGTGGTCTAGGAATCAAATTGTCGATCATTCTTTATGTTTAATTTCTTATTTCTTCCTCAGAGGACAAAGTCTGATCCCGATACCATTTTCTGCCATATCAAGAAGGGGCAGTGCTGATATCTTCTGAATCACTTTATTGGTATGGTTTGTTTGCCAGGTGAAACGAACACTAGGACAGTTTACACCGGCACAGTGGGACAAGGATGAATGGCACCCTTTACTTGGTCCATGGCGTTTTCTTCAAGTTTTGACCTTGTGCATAATCTTCCTTACAGTAGAGCTGAATACATTCTTTCTCAAGTTTTGTCTTTGGATCCCTCCACGCAATCCTGTGATAATCTATAGATTGATCTTGTGGTGGTTAATTGCCATACCGACAATCCGTGAATACAATTCCTATCTTCAGGATCGGTACTCTCTCTCTCTCTCTCTCTCTCTCTCTCCCCCCCCCCCCCCCCCCCCATTCACTTGTTATTGTGTGATCAACATAAGTTAATTTCATATACATATTATGTGAGCTGTTATCAGAACACCGGTTAAAAAGGTTGGAGCTTTTTGTTGGCTTTCCGTTGCTATTTGCATTATCGAGCTTCTCATCTGCATCAAGTTTGGACATGGTATGTTCTTTAAGCATACTGATGCTTCCTCTTCATTTTCCCAACTTCTGATATCTTTGCTTGAGGCTGGTAATGACTTATAGCTTCATCTTGATCAGGTTTGTATCCAGCACCTATGCCTAGGTTGCTGGTCGTCTTATGGACTGGTGCAGGAGTTACCTTGGTAGCATTCGTGCTTCTGTGGTCGTGGCAATTGCATCGCAGAAGTTGTGAGAGAAAGAGACGATGATATCTTACAATGGTTTTGCTGGTAGTCACTCGTTATATCTTATTGTTTTTACTTGTCATAGTTAGTGGGGTTTGGGTAGGGTCTTGTACATACCCTAAGAGATTATCCTAGAGAATGTGACATTATATAGTTGTTTCGGCATAAGATTACTAGTCCATTGAGTTGCTAATTTGAACACATGGGTAAATTTGGGTTGTGGGTTTCTTTCGGTGTAGTGTGTGTTTAAGGCTTTTATCAAAACTCTTGTGTTGGTCGGGAGATTGTTCTAAAGATGGTTTGGAGGCCGGTATGGGATTTTGTGAACAAGGTTTCTGCGGAAGTAGAGATTCGAGTGAAGCTAGCCCGGGTAGGCATTCATGATTGTTTGATTTAATGAAGAAAATGATGTCGTTTGGTTTTGATGTTGATGTTCTGTTTCCTCCTTGAAATGATTGTAATTTGTTGAATGGAACTGGATTTTTGGATTTTTCTCATGTGTTATGTTGAACTAGAATCAATACCCACGGCTACGTCGCGGATACTTAAGTTGCTGCAATATCATATTCTAATCAGTAGTGAGGAGGCTTGGCAATTTAGAAGAATGTGTCCAACTAACTCAATCAATTAATTGTAGTGAGGAGGCTTGGCAATTTAGAGGAATGTGTCCAACTAACTCAATCAATTAATTGTATCCTTTACGAAAACCACTACAGATTTGGACTTGTGCTCATAAGGCAAAATGCACTACCATACGTATAATAAAATCGAAACCACTCTCCCATTTGAAAGCTACTATGGGCTAGAATTCGAACAACATTTGGCTACTCAAGTGGTTAAAAAACAGCATCGTGACCTACTTCAGGTACAGCAGCAGCAGATGAAAGTTGAAACATAGGGAAATGATGATGGGGCTGGAAGGGTAATTGGGAATGGGAAACAACATGACGGGGCTATGAGCGCTAGGCGAGGCAAATGAAACATAAAAATTATTGACAATACAAACTTGGTTTGTGAGAGTAGCTAAAACGGATACATGATTTGATAAATAGAAGCACAACAACATTGCAAAGAGGAGGTAAAGAAACAACAAAGGGTAGTCTGTAACTACCATCAACCTTGCAGCGTAAGAAATCCAAAGTAAATAGCAGAGTTCAGAGATCCAGAATGGTGAGACTGCAAGGTCATGTATAAGCAAAACAAAAATGCAAAACAAAAATACAGATTGAACGGATGGGAAGTAGAATGCAAGAAGTAAGCAAGAGGGACTGGCAAGGTAATCCCTCAATTGAGAAGCTTCACTTATTCCATTTCTTGCTTCCAGATACCATCCCATGCACACTGTAAATATTGTAAATATAATCTAAGAAGAAAAACGTATAAGAAACATCTGATCATCATGCAATTATCACACATCAAGTAAGTCAATCATACCATTAAGTTCATAGTGCCCCGACTGATGACAGAAAACATGATAAGCAACCTTGCAGGAAATCATAAAGTTAATATCAGAGTTGATAGCATTTCCCTTTCTAATTCAGCATCCAGTGAGATTAGCATCCAACCAACCCATGCAATGTAAAATCTGATTCCAAAATATATTGAACAGACAATTTTCAAAAGGAAACAAAGGCATTAAAATGAGATAGTGCGTATGAATACGCCAAATTAATGCGCATTTGAAGTTCAACTGTATGAGGTCGAAACTCAAGACTAACTCTCCAGAACGTTTGGATCTTATACTTTCGATACATATAATTTGTTTTTTTTTTTCTTAAAAGGCTATGGAACCATAGAAGGAGGAATACAAAGTGAGAGTGTACTCCGCAAAGTGGAAATTTGCAAAAATACAGCAAGGTAGCAGAGTTTTTTGCTATCAGGTTTCAGTGACGAAGTCGTATGAGGAAATGACCAAATTCATTGAAACTTATGAGAGGGAGGCAGTTGCAAATCGAACTTCTATCTACTATGACGAACATAAAGCATATCAAAGCTGGAAAATAGCGATGATCTAATGTTAAGAATGAAAGTTAGAAATGTGAACTTACGGTATGATGAGATCCATCTCGCTCTTGATAGGAGAACACATATTAGCCAACAACAAAAGTGCAACTCCAGAACCTGCATTTACACATACTAAATCAAGTAATAGAAATGATGATCACCAAGAATCGTTACGCAAAGGCCTGTTGATTGTGTTATATAGCAATAAGATGAGTGAGTTGCAGAACGAAATTAATTATTCTGCCTATCAAATAGTACAATGGTGGTATGAATTATAACTACACATTCGAATATTACCAGCTATAAGGAAACATACTGTAAAGTCCAATATCCCTTACGCGGATTGGATATCGAAAATGAAGAAAACCAATCAAATGGAAAGTGAGTTAAGTTCCACATTCTCTATACCATCTACCTTGCAAGATTGAGTAGAATACTCTGGCACGGATTATGCTCCACTAAATTCAAGGTTAAACCCATGAAAAAACAATAATCCACTTATCAATCTTGTAAGTCATAGCAAAAGAGCCTTCTCTTTATTATGTAGGTGCAAAGTACAGCAGACCATACTTGAGAAGAGGAGGTTGAGCGCTTGTTTCCTCTTATAGTTTGGCATTGCATTATCATCTGTGTCCGCGTGGCTGAATGTCCGGAGGAGGCCTAGAAAGAAGTAGCAAACTTTAGCATGGGTAGGTGGCACCTGATTTAAGAACTGACAATGAGATCTACATACAGATCCTCCATGGCAAAGGACGGCCTCAACCGGACTGTACCACTGCTCTTCAACTGCAATCTTCAAGTCTCAAGTGCATGCTTTGTTCTCCATATCAAAAGCAATGAAAACCATGAAACCTCGTATAAGAACAGACAACAGCAAAAAATGAAAATAGGAAAACCAGAAGTTTCATTGTATCCCCAATATTTTCCATATAAATTTGGTAAATAAGAAAAGAAGCAATTAGAGAGTCATTTTCTGATCCCCTACTTTCAGCTTATGCACCACCAATCTTCCCCTACATAAAATGCTCATGAAAACAACATACTCAGCCACCGCAGATCAGCAACAATATATATATATATATATATATATATATATATATATATATATATATCTTTCACTTTACATGTTGGAAACTACATAGCATGGCTCAAATTTACACACTCACCAATAATGGCATCCGATTCCACATTGGAATCTAAGAAAAAGAAGAGGACCATAAGTCTTACCTAAAGATTGATGGTGGTCGAACCGATTTTGTTGTCGTTGATCAGTCAGGCTCATTTCCGTCGACCATCGTTGGGGGTCTGGTTCAGGAGAGAGAGGAGGATGAGGAGAAGAACAAAACTTGTAAGAAAAATGGGTTTGACAGAGAGGAATCGGAAGATTAGGTGGAATAAGTGGTTGGGTGTTGGGAAACAAGAACAGCTGTGAGAGGCGTGGCTTGATGTTGGAGAATTGGAGTGATGAAGTGGGTGGCGTGCTGAAGTGGGTTGCAGAGGCTATTATAGAATTGAGAAGCATACCGGGATGGCAAGATTTGGGGAGTGTAAGATGACGGAAAAGACGTGGGCTTCCGGATTTTCAGGCAGTAAGATGAAGGCATGGGATTGGGGCAATGCAGTCAAAAGCGCGATTCTACCTAGAAGCGGTTGGGTGACCTAGAAGCGTAAAACCGTAAGCTTTTAAGTTTTAAAACGTAAATTTTGACTACATTTGTAAGGGAAAATCACGATTCTACGTAGAAGCGTTTTGATGACCCAAAAAGGTAAAAACGTAAGCTTTTAAGTTTTAAAGCGCGATTTTGACTGCATTGGATTGGGGTAAGGTGAGCATGGTCTTGGGGAAAGACCAGGGTTCAAGAAGGCGCGCCTAGGCGCACGCCTAGGCTCAATTAGGCGCTAGGCGGTGGAGGATCGCCTTGACTTGGCCATAGGCGTTGAAAAAGGCGCTGGTAGCGCTTAGTAGGTAGGAATAGCGCTTAGTTTGCGCCTAGTGGAGAGAAGGCGTGCCTGGGTAAGCTTAGGCAGTTAAACCCAATACTCTTTGTTTTGTCCTAGAAAATCAGAAACTTGCCTCTTGCCCTAGAAAATCAAAAACACGGGAAGTAACATCTGTTGCCACCTGCCGCCCTAGCGCTCGCCCCATCTTCTACCGCCTGTCGCCCAAGCTCTCGCCCCATTTGCTGCTCTCTGCCGCCGCAGGAGAAAGTCATCGATCACTCTTCTCGCCTTCACACCGCTCCGCTGCTATAGTGGGAAATAAAGTCGAAACTCGTCAATTGCTGCTCCTTCCTTCTCCTCGGTACGTAGCACAAGCTTCTTGCCTCTGTAAGCACCTATTAGCAGATGATTGGTCACTATTTGCTTGTTATTTGTTATGTTAAGTGCTTACTGTTAAGAACTAGACATTGCTAATTTTATATGCACTTGGATTATATGAATTATTCCAGAAAACAGGAAATATTTGAGAATTTTTCCATTTATGCTCGGCGCGCCTAGGCTACGCCTAATCGGGCAAGGCGCAAGTCAGGAGCCGAGCGTCTGCCTTACGCCTAGCGCCTTTTAGAACCTTGGGAAAGACAGAACCTTTCTTCCGTTGTGGCGGGCAAGAAATCCAGAAGAAGAGTAGCTCGCTGAAGGTGGGCACAAAAGAGGACAAAAATTGAAACAGTAAAGGAGAACTTTGGGCAATAAAATGTACCCACATTTCATATATACTAGAATCAATACCCGCGGCTACGCCGCAGGGACTTAAGTTGTAGTGTCGTGATAAATGGATTGGCGGCGATGATAGAAAGGGGGCGGTTGTATCTTTCTCCGATGCAATGGGCTGGAGAGTTATGTATGTTCAGTTCCATGTTCCTATTAGTATGAGGTGGAGACTGTGAACGATAACTACAAACACGACGTATCATTCATAAAACCATTTAGCAATAATTCTCCATGGGTTCTTCTCCTTATTTACTTGGTTGAGATCGAGAAGCAGTGTTCTCACTTCCATGTGGAGCCACATTTGGGTAGAAAGCAGAATTACTTAATAAACCCGTACAAACACAAACTCTTTATGATTAGGGATGATAATCACAATTAAAAGGTCTGTTACCTAGCAGAAGTAGGACTCACAGAAGAGTGTAAACGATTTTTTCAAGAAATGACAAATAGTTAGAAATTCGAATTGAATCTAGAAAGCAAGTATAATTTTTTTGTTGAAAAGTTTTGAAATTACAAATAAAATATTCGTCACCTGTAAAGTATGATTCAAGTGGATCACATCACTGCAAAGTTCAATCATTCTATTCTAAGCCTGCTGAGAATTTTAGTTGCACCTACACCTGCTATTATTCTCGAGTTTGTTCAGTGATCCATTACATGTCGGGTGAGCAAGCCCAATTTTGCCAGGAATAACAAAACATACATAGTTTCTGAAACAAAGGTCAGCTTGTTAGAAGAGCAGAGAAACCAAAAGCAAGCTGGAACCGTGGTCCGTGGATAACATATATGGCAAGCTCCACCCTTTAGATGTTTCA